AGTTCAAGGAATTTACGGGCAGCACTTATCCTCCCTGGCCGAAGTGTCGATTAGTTATGGACAGTTGACATTCAAATCATTTCAAAGTTTTTCGTGACATCGACTATCGAATTATATGGTTGAATTGAATCAAAAGAGCCAGATTTCTTGAGGAAAAAAGAAGAAAGCACGAAATTAAGAATTTCAACTGTCTCATGGCACAGGGAATGAATGAGCTAAGAAAAGAACGACGTAGCCTGGAATATTGAGTTTTAAATAGAACTCCATTTCTCTAATTAGAACGATTTTAAATTATATAGATATTTAAGAAGACAAACTCGTTGCTGCTTTGTTAAAAATAACCAAACAAACTTATACTGAGTCAAGCACAAACTTAAACACTCAAATCATTCACAAGAAACGTCCCTACTGAGGTTTTTTTTCTATCACCAAGCGATATGTTTATATTAATAAACCCATAAAATGTGTTGTCAATCGGAAGTGCTTGTGTAAATCAGAGCATTTCCGATTTGTCACAACTGTAGCATGTAACCGGCATAACTCTGTAGCTGTTGCTGTCGCCACCACCGTGAAAATTGTTGTGATTGACCGTGATGACACACGCTTTATTGGTTTTCCGTGAACATTGCATCAACGATGGTTTGGTGCCTTCCAAAAGCGCCCACGCTTACGTTCATTGACGTAGACGTCACTTATGCCACGATGGAATCTTTGATATTCATTATAGAAATTCACAATTGAAAGCTCAGACAGTGTGCGCCGCAGACATCACCCAATGCAAATACACAAAGAGATACAGAGGAGAAAAAACCACGAACATTAAGTGCTAACAACAAAGGCGTACGTGGTAAACGGTTTACAATTAAGATAATTGCGACGCAGTGCGATCATTGCTATTTTTCTCGTTGGTTTTTTTTTGCTGATTATTTCGTTTTTTTTCTTGCATTAAAACTTAGAAACGACACATTTGGTCTATGTGTGTATAAAAATTCCTTTCGGTGGCTTTTTGTTTTGGTCGACACACAGTCAATAGACTAATAATAACACACCGCAACATAAAGAATAGAACAAAACGAAACACGAGAAAAAAAAAACATTGTACAAACACAACTCATCATGGTACAGAACGTCAATGTACGTGATCGGTATTCGCAATGCAATGCTATATTCTATACGAACCGAATGAAAAAAGTTGAAATGTTCTCTCGCGTTCGCGCGTATTTCTTCTTTTTCTGCGTCAATGTGTATTTTGCTACTTGGTTCTTTTTTTTTGATATATATGGATCTTATTAAATCGCGATTCAAATATAGAATTTATATGTGTTTTTTTATTGAGCCGTTTGTCGACACACACGAACCGACACCGATTGTTCCATGTCTGACGGATATAAAGCATTCGAAAAACAAGCAACTTTACAATCTACGTGCCATTGTCGTCGCTGTCGCTGTCGTCGTCGCCGTTGCTGCCGCGTTCAACACGGTGGATTTTTGCCGCATTCCGTTACGTTATCATTTTTATGAAGGAAAAGCGAAAATACAACAACAACGACAACATAAATCGATTCACCGTTTCTATTTACGCTGGTTTTATTTCACCGGTGTGCGGTGTGCTTCTAATGACGTCATTTGAATTGAATACTCGAGACGGTTTCGCAGGGATCTAGAGGTTTCATTGATTTTACTTTCGTTGGAATAGGGAAACAGAAAAAAAAATCGATACGCGCAAACAGAGACGTGATGCTTTGTGTCGATGGATTTGGTTTGTTAAAACAGAGAATCGGACTTTCCGTTTCGCAAATGCAATGCTCGTTAAATCTATATTTTAATCGAATCTTCCTTTGATCTGATTATTCTTGATGCATGCCACTGTTGTCGCCGCTGCCATCGCTGCCGTGCAATCTCAGTTGAGATGATTCAATCAGTGCCGCAAAGCAGCCGTCAATTTGAAATTCAAACGTCTTCCGCGTGTGCATTACTTGAATTATTGGCATGAAAGTGTCAATTTCAAATCAATTGCCTTCGAGAAAATAGACTCTCACAAATAACACCTCATCGGCTCTCAATTCAATGACTCTTGTATTCCATATACAGATTTCAAACGATTTGTTTGTCAACTCAAGTATTTTCGATGCATTGACAGAAAGTAGCAGCACTACTTTGATTTTATTGCAATCAAATTGAACACATCGTGGCATCGAGCCTTTTGAAATTGGTGCGTATCGTGTTCGTCTCTGTTTGTTTTTTTTTTTTGGTTTTCGTGTGGACGAAAGCAAACAAATCGAAAATAAGAAGCGAAAAACTGAGAAAAGGAATCGAAAAATAGATTTGGCATGAAATGGACTTACAACTCTCTCTCTCTCTCTCTCTCTCGCTGAATTGTGCCTATAGATAGAAAATAGAAGAAAAGAGAACCAAAAACGCGGAATTGCCAACCGATTTTGTCACAAGCAGTGCAATGCATCTTCCCCATGTGTGTGTGTGTGTGTGTGTGTGTGTGTGCCTTTTGCTCGGCAACACAACAGCAAAATAAAACGTTAATTTTATGCATTTGGTCAAATCGGCTCGGCTATTTTCATCTCAAAGCAATTGTAGCAAAACAATTGAAACGGCGATTTTTCCGTTCAATTGTCCGGAAACGCGGTTTTCTCTTCATTAAATATTTTCGGCTAGCAAAAATTCGCGTTCGTATTGAATAAATTGTGTGCGTTTATTGAACAGATTTGTTAACGTCGAAAAAACCGCCGTTACAACGTTTCAAGATAATTATTTGAAATGACGGAAAACGGAAAAATGAGCTCGCAATGCTCCTAATTAAACCGAAAAGGAGGACAATATCCAATCCAACCCATTTCTGTAGAGATCGCAAAGACATTAGCAAATTAGAATAATTATCGTCGATAGAAAGAAAGCATTTGCATTTGGTCAGTCAAACAAGCGCTACATTCGGTCAATCGAATCACATCGGATGCCGAAATGCCTCTATAAATACGTGACTACACAGATTGAATGTGCATAAATTCACTGCTTCTGAATTTATGCTCAGATTAAAAAGTATTGTGCATCATAATCATCATTCTTCTTCGTTGTTGTTTTATTCACCACCAATTCACACATGCAACAATTTCATCGACGCATTACACACACTAAAAATATATCGAATAAAGAGAGAGAGAGAGAGAGGAAACTGATTCGAAAATGAGCAAAAAAGAAGGATGTATCGAAAAAGTACGTTTGCGTCGCGAGAGAACAAAAATCAGTGGCCGTAAACAACACGAGATTTATGCGCGTATGCCGAACAACATTTTCCTTCGCGCTCACCAAAAGTGTTATGATAGAAAATTTCCGCGCTCACAAATATCGGTGCGTGATCGAAAGAACAAATGCAACATTGCGAAATCATCTGCTGTTATTTTTTTGTAGTTGCACTTTTTCTGTAGGCTTGCAAAGTGATATAGGGATAGCGATGCAAATGTGACAGCATTTGTGCCAAATTTATGCGTTTTATGCGAAAATTTTTCGAGAAAAATATTAATTAAATAAATGGACAACCGTTCAGTTGCGGTCGTTTTGGTCGATTCGACGACGACGAGTCATTATGCTGCAATGGCATGTAGCAAACCAGTTACACCATCAAAACCCAATTCACACGCGTTAACCCGATGATTAGTGACAGTTTGGTTTGTTTTCTTTTTTAACTGTTCTGGCATATGTCACTAATGTGCACCGAAATCAAAATAAATTTGAGCAAGTGTTATTTTGTTCAATTTATGAGCATGATTCTCACTTAACCAAACATCAAACTGCCCCGTACGCAAGCAAGCAAGCGAGACACATTATTTATTTATTCTTTTAATTATAAATTTTCTAATCACATGCGATGAGGATTATTGTGACACAAATGAGTTTTCATTTTTCTCGTCTTTTTTTCATACATTGATGTTGACTGCATGTTTTATTTTTTCACTTGAAAAATCGAAATGCGTTCATACAAATTGACAACGTCCATGTTTTTGAATCTGCCCATTTTTCGGCCACGATCAAAGTGAAATTCTTTTCTTTTGCGCGATTTTTGATTGTTTTGGCAACTTCGCAAAAATGGCATAGCACTTGCTGCGCATCGCAATTCTGGTAATAGTTTTGAATTTCTAATAAAATACATGCAACATTTCAAATTTTTCTCGTTAAATTCATCGCTTTTAGAATTATGGTCGAAGTAGAAAAATGGTGGAAAACAGCCGACATATGAGAGAAAAATGGGAGAAAAAAGAAAAAAAAAGTCGAAGAAAACACCATTTTCTCTCCGTTTCGAGACTCATAGCAATGCAACAACTTTTTGAAGTTTCTCAATGAATTTTACTCACATTCAATAAAAACCATTAATGAATTGCTTAAAAACCCATCATCACATGTGAATGCATTCTAATGTGTATGCATCCGAAAACTATTTTACGGCCCTCAATAAAGAAAATGACCGAAAAATCGTAAAAACCAATTAATGGTGTGCTGTTGTCGAGGTGTCGATAATAATGTCTTTCACTCTGTTTCTCGTCTTTACAAAGAAGTTGATTTTTATACTCCATTAAAAGAGAAATATGATTCGTACGGAAATTACAACATGGCGCTTAAAACATAACATATCTCTGTCACACTTATTTTAGACGATTTGCCGTTTTACATAACAAAACTTACCGACTATTAATAAATGTTAGTACAAATTTATAGTGAACAGAAAAAAAATGGTAAAACATATTTTTTTTCTTTGAAAAGAGTGTGTGTATGTGTGCATTGGTTGAGCACCGAGAGCAAATGTGTTAATAAGGCACTTAAAAATGCTAATTGTGTTAGCGGATGTGTCAAAGTGTCTGAGAAATATTAGAATGCGGAAAGTGTGTCTTTTTGTGTTTTTTTTTAAATATTTATTTTGCCCAAAACCCAAACCAAAATTCGCAACTAATAACAACGAGGGAGAGAGAGAGAAGGAAAAACAAAACAATACGTACACTTTTTGTCTTCGATAAATTCGTCTGGTTGCATGTAATTGCTGTTGTTATTGTTAAGATCGCCGATTGATTGGATTGATGTTGGCAGAATGTCACGATGACGGTCGGATAGACCAAAATATTGTGCATCTACTTCATTGTAATTGGTTTGGCCAATCAATGCATTTTGTTCACTCTCGAGATATTCGTTCGTTAGCGGCTCTTGTTTTACGACAATCAGTGACGCCAATCGTGTTCGCATGTCCAATGATTTTCGTTTCGTTTTGTTTTAGAGGTTTGAATGTGAGTGTCTATTTGAGAGTGTATTTGAAAGTTTCTTTTCAATTCGCTCAATGGTGATTTTGCCTATATCCGTCGAAAAAATGATGATATCAATATTCACTTTCTCACCTGATTTATGACTTGTGCTCACAAATGTTCAAATCAGTTGAAATAATTTTTTCTTTTCTGCTGTCTCTTTTCGGTAAAGTTCAATTTAAAATACTAATGTTCAGTGGCAAAAGTTAGATTTTTTTACCAAAAAAAATGTAACTTAAAAGCAGGACATCTGAAATCAAATAATGAATTGCGCTTTCGAATATCAAGTGCACTGTGCGTGATGTATTTGTGCCAAAAAAATGTTCCGTTTTTTTTCGAAATGGTTTCTGTGCTGCTTGGTGTGCTCATGCATTTGGTCGTTTTTCTTTTACATTTTCTTTATGATGATGATGATGTGCAAATCACATAACCAAATCGTTCAATTGTTCGCTCGAAATATACACCGAAAAAATAAACACATATACACAACAACAACAATAACGGAAAATAAAAACAGTGTTCATTCAAAGTGTTCTATCCTCAGATGAAGAATTGTTGTTGCCGATTCGAAATCATAAATGTTTGTAATACTTTTTATCTCCTGCTGGCAATTTTTTGTGTCAATTGTTCAAAATGTTTCATTTTTAAGTCCTGTGTACACCCTCACAACACTGATTTTTATAGCACAACATTGAATATTCAAACAACAACCAATAAAAAAATGTTTTTTCCCTTTGCTTTTACAAATGCAACGTGTGTTGGTGTGTGAAACTTACTAAAAAAAATACCGAGACAATTGCAGTTTACATTTGATTGCTTGGTGGCGATGCAAATGTGTTGTGATACATGGTGTGTAAACATCAATAAAAAAAAATATAAACAGCTCAACAGTCAATTAAGACAGTCAACACACAGATTAAAATAGAGAGAATACAGAGAGCGAGCAATAAATGTGGACAAAGATTTTTTTTGTGTGTGTATAAAATAGATCAACACCTGTCGAGGGTTCATCAACCCTTCTTGTGCAATGTTTCTTCTCCTCCAGCACGACTAATTAAACAAACCACCCGATCCAAATAATGTTCGCTCAGTTTAGGTGTGTGTGTCAGAGTGTGTTCAGCGCACAAATCCTTTTGTTGCAATTCACTTTTTATTTGACATGAAATTTTCACTCAATTTTTAACTTCGTTTTTTTTTTGTTGAATGTTTTTTCTTTATTGTTGAAAAAATAAATGGAACCGCAAGTGTCTATTGGCTGTCAAATTAAACCAGCACAATATTGAAATGGGATAAAATTTATAGCCACTTAACGAAAGTGATGAATTTTTATGTGGACTCTTCTTAAGAGTTTTGACGATGCAAACGAACTTTCACTTAAAAATTTATCTATTCTCTGATCGTGTGAACAAATCACAATCGCTACTGGTCGATTCAACGAGAGAAACAAAAAACCGATAAACTTATTCAGAGTTCGCTCTTTTTTTTCAAATTTACCGCGATGGCAAAAATATGCACCAATATTTTTTTTTTCTCAATAAATTTACTTTTTACAAACGGAACCAGAAAAATTCACTGGATATTTACTTTCAAAATTTTGTTTAAACTTTTTTTTGTTGCTTTGTTGATTGTGTGTTAGTCCTCTCGGTAGAAAAATAATATCCGAATGAAAAAAAAACGCGATTCTACTGCAATCACGAATGGTATAAAATGCAATGGAAATTGTGATGTTTGTGATGAGAAAGATTTGTGTTCTCCGGGCTTGTGTACTTTACGTTACCAATACGGCGTCTGAGACGCGACTGACTTATCACGCGAAATGCACGAGACTATATGATGAATTAAAAGAAGCCAGAGAGAGCACAGCCAACACACAACTTTACCAGCAGAGGCAGCAAGCGGACGAGCGAATGCGCGCGTTGGCCGTTTCTCTCTTTTATTCACTGGTGTGTTTCTGTTTTTTTTTTTTTTTCTCTTTACGTGTTCAATGCACGTTCGGCGTTCCGCATTCGCGTTGGTTGTGTTGTGTGTCGGTGTTTCTTCCTCTTCATCGATGCCGAATGCTTTGCTCCATTGATACATGGAACCGCAACCGATCAAGTGTTTGCGTCGTGTTTTGTACACACAACAACAACACAGATACCGAAAAGCACGAGGCAAACGGCGATATGTGTATAAATAACGGACAGCGCAACAAATTCAATATTGTTCGTTTCGTTGCAATGCTAATGACGTCATTACTATTACGTCATTGTTGAATGAACGAACGAACGAACGAACGACACATATATTTCGTTCTGCCTCGCTGTATGTATCTATAGATATATATGTTGCGTCGTGTGTAGCGGTGTGTGAGCTCAACCTGCTGCGTTGCCCGTTACCATCGGCACACACTCTCCGGTGTGTACACCGAAGAAGTGGGGAACACTGTGTGGCGTTGTAATTGCTGTGCCGTAAACTTACATGAAAATTAATAGCTGCTGTTGCTGCCATTACTTCCCAATACCGAAAAAAGCACGACCGATTAAAAGCGATTGTGGTTCAGTTTGTTGGGTCTCCCCATTTATTTGTTTTTCTTCTGCTTGTTTTTTTTTTCGTTCGGCTTGTACAATTTTTATCTCTGCCTATTTTTCTGCTCTCACTCGCACAGCTCTCGGTGTATTACAGCCGCCCGAACCATGTGAAATTGTTTGGTGTGCTGGCGCTAAATGTTTTATACGTGTGTGTAGATTTTTGAGCCGCCTCTGATCAAGACTACGCGTTTGCATACGTTTCTATCCCCGCTTTTATTTACAATTTTTCTTCATGACTCGCTCGATGTAGTTATTTTTGTGACTTTTTTCTGCGCTTTCTTATTCCTCCTCTGTTTTCTTCATTTTTTTCCATCTTCTTCTTATTTACTTTTTTCTCTCCTACGAATCGGTCTCTTGGAATCTTTTCTCCTACGGCCTAGGCTTCTGGCGATTTGTATATTCCATTTTATGTGTGTGTGTGAGTGTTTTCCCAAGCTTACACACAACAACTCATTCTAGTCAATGGTTGTAATGTACATATTTCATGTTGAATGTGGGTGAAAGTAAGCATGACTCTTGTAATTCAACAGAATGAAAAAAAATTCATCGGCTTGCGCCAACCAAATGAGAAACAAAAACACATCATCGGAAAGTGAACGTAATTGCTCACGTCAATATTTACAATGAAATTATTATACGAGGTGAATTGGTGCACATATTTGATTTGCTATTTATGATAATTGCACCATTTTAACCCGAAAAAAACGGAGGAAGAACTCATGTGTTTCATCGATTGATTACGGAGGCATCGTCATCGGTTATATACAATAACGATAGCAACAATTTAGATATATGTATACGTCATAACTATGACGTATGCAACGATGGAGTTTAAACTGGCTGGATAAAGTCGTAGCATGATATCCACGCAACTGAAACAAATGAAAAAGGGGTAACGTATGCATCGGTGTCCGCAAGGATCAAAGTTGTGGTGTGCGCGCATTCGGTGTGTTCCATTTTAAATTAGCTCGTTAATGGTTTTCCAGCTAATTTAACAATATTACCTTCTCGGCGTTGGTGTTTTTCGCAACACCCCGGTACAACTGGGCGACGGTACGTTCACATGAAAAACATATTCATGACATCAGCAAATTCTATTTAGCTACTATTCTAATTAGTTTGCAAACTTTGGTGTTGTTGTTCTATTGCATACGCAAAATGCTAAACGAAAGCATTTCATCAAGTCGAATTATGAGCAGAAAATCAAAGGCAAAGGTGGCCCGTACAATTTTCTGAAGATTTGGTCGAAATTCAGCCGATGAACGATATCCAATGCGCGGTTCATGGAGAGCAAAAACCGATTCGAATCGCTTGCAAAACAAAAGAGCGATGAAGAGATGTGAAATCGATGCAGCGCACAAGATTGTAATATCAAACGATTCGATGTGGTGCATCTACGTGAAATAAATGTATGTTTAATGGTTTAATCCATAATTTAACATGTAATCAAACTTGTGCTCGATTCACCTCTGGGCGCACTTTTTTCTTCATTACTCTCTCTCTCTCTCTCTCTCTCTCTCTCTCTCTCTCTCTCTCTCTCTCTCTCTCTCT